ACTATTTATTTTCCTAAATTTTGTATCAAATTAAAACTAAACAAATAAAGTAAAATAAAGCGATTAGTAAAGTAAGTTATATCACAAGGATTTGACCAAAAGCACTTACATACCTAGATGACAGTGTCGTTTGGTAGGGTGCATTAACAAAAATAATGATTGCATTAGCTTTATGTATTAGTAGTACCTTGTTTGGTACCTTTTTTCATGCTATATATAACGAATGCAAACATTAGTTATACACTCTATTGTGTATTGGGGAGTGCATTACTAATACCATGGATTTCTAGGTATTAGTAATGCAAAGTGATTTAATGCATGATTAGCATTTTAAAGACACAAATACCCTCAAAAGAACTTTTACATCTTTTTCACCATAATTGTGGAGGATATTTTTGTATTACTATTTTTGTACAACACATTATTTTTAATGTACCAAACAAAACAATGCATAAGAAATAATCTATGTACAACTAATGCAAGCATACTAATACAAGCAATACTAATGCAAGTGTTGTTAATACACTCTATTTAACATTATTTTTATACACTCTACCAAACGACCCTTAATGATCAAAGTTATTGCTCAAGTGTTTATGCCTTACCTACTAAACATTAACCCATATGCTACGTGAATCAAATTAGTCGGAGTTCAAGATAAATATTATAACAATGCTTCACTAGTTAGTTTAAGTAAATCTGATTGGAAATTTTACTATGCCCTCAGTTTTAAACAAGTGAGTTTGTATATGAATCCTTACTAATCATATTTCATCATTTAAAATCATCTCAAACAAATATTATAAATAAATCATTGAAATTCTCCCTTCCCTTAATTAGTTTTCCTCTATTTGTGATCAATAAACCATTAAACTATTTATACTTTAATACTCAAAGCCTGACTTGTTTTATGCTGCCGTTTACAATTAATTCACATATTTACTGTGACGTTGGAATGTTTATTTGTTTCAATATATATGAAAAATCTTTATATTTTGGTTTGATATTTATTTGTTTCAATATATATGAAAAATCTTTATATTTTGGTTTGTTAACAACACTTTTAAGCTTTTCATGAAGCCATATAATATTATGGCCAAGTCCTAAAAATACGAGTTAATATGTCAGATGGTCACTCAACTTTCAATAGTTCTCTTAGAAAGTCACTCAACTTTAGAGTAGTTTACTTGAAAAGTCACTCAACTTTGTTTTATAACTCAAAAGTCACTTAATTATAAGTATTTCATCAAGAAAGTCACTCAACTATTGATATTTTACGTAGAAAGTCACTCAACTAATTTCAATGTTTTCAAATTAAATTTTGTTAAAATACAATTTTTGTTTTAAACTTATTTTTAAAAATTAATAAGATGCTCATTTTAATCATTTTATTAAATTTTTTCAAATATATTTTTTGTTTTGAACTATTTTTAAAAAAAATAATAAGATTGCTACAGTTTTTTTTTTTTTTTGGATTACTCCTTAACTTCTTGATTTCAACCTTTTTTTAAAAAAAAAAATCATTTTTCAGCATTAGTTCCAGTTAGACAATTGCTGGAATAGAAAAGATAATTTTTTTTTTGTCAATCGCTACGGTATGTTTTTCAGAAGAAAAATATAATTAAATAATTGACTTAAGTCATATACGGCTCCTTAAAGTTATCCGCATAATTCAATTAGACACTTGAACTGAGGTTTGTACCTATTGAACACCTCTACCCCTTTAAATTTGAACCATTTGAATTTTTTTTAACAATAAACTAAAAGTATAAAGTGTGTGAAACACACTCGCGATGACATGGCAAGTTGATGAATTAAATAATGTCATCTGGTATTTTTAGTCCAAAAAATTATTTTAAAATGTATTATAAAGTAAAAGAAAAAGGAAATTATTTTTAAGTTGAAAATAAACATTTTAAAAAGAAATCTCTAACTTACCCACCACTTATACCAGCGGAGCCCAAAAGTCCTCTCCCTCTACGATGCCCCACCCCCCAACACGGCAACCCACCCGTAAATATGTTATTATAGAACTTTTTTGGCTCATCTAAGAGAAAATTCAAAGTAAAATAAGTTGCGGAGGAGTTGATGATAAATTTCTCCAAGTCATTAGTTCTTGGCGATCTCTTTACGTTGAATAGGAAATTTATTTATTTTCACTTTCTTCTTCATTCAATTTTTTGTATGAAAAGATGAATTTCATCGAAAAATTAACCACCTACTATGACATTATTGGAAAAATTGAGTTATGTCAGATTTATTTTTGAGTTCTATAGTTGATTAGTTAAACAAAATCACACAAATCTACATTAATTTAACCCCAAAATATTATATTAATAGCAAAAGAATAATTCAAACTTCAAGCCCTCTACAAATTAACATGATAAAAATGACGATTATGATGACTGTCATGGCGGTGGCAATGGCGATGCTGCCAATCCTACCATGAATGTCAATTGAGAAAAACAAAACAGATGGAAGTAGAAGAACTAAAATATCGGAGGAAAAAAGAGGAAGAAGAAGGATGTATGATGGCGCCGTGAACTGGTGCGGTGGAGGAAGTGATGGCAAACAGGTGAGGAAGAAGGAAGAACATCTTTTTCCAAAAAAAAACGCAAAACTAAATACATTTCACGCGCCTATTTGAGGTGAATCACAAACAACGTGCCATGTAGGCAAAAAATGTTCAAATGGTTCAAATTCAGGAGGGTAGAGGTGTTCAATAGGTACGAGTCTTAGTAGAGGTGTCTAAATGAATTATGCGGACAACTTTAAGGTGTCGTAGATGACTTAGACCTAAATAATTAGAGTGGTTCGATAAGATAATTAAAATAGATATTTTATTTTAACAAAATTTAATGAAAAAAACATTTAAGTTGATTGAGTGACTATACAAATGAAATATTAATAGTTAAGTGACTTTCTAAGTGAAATATCAATAGTTAAGTGACTTATGAGTTATAAAACAAAGTTAAGTGACTTTCTAAGTGAACAAGCCTAAATTGAGTGACTTTCTAAATGAAGTATTCAAAATTGAGTGATCATATAAGATATTACCTCCTAAAAATACTTTGCACAAAAGTCATTAATTACTTTATGTTCAGTCTAGCACTAAAAAGGCTATTCCTAGACCCTAGTAGAAGTGGTAGAATTATTTCAAATACTTCAACTGGAACACTATGTAAATTTTGTTTTTCAATTCACTTATTGTGATATGAAATATCTATTTTTGTGTACTTTTGATATGAAATATCTATTTTTGTGTACTTTTGATATGAAATATTCTCTCCGTTTAAAAAAGAATGACCTAGTTTTCTTTTTAGTTTGTTTAAAAAAGAACGATCTGTTTTTTTTGGCAACACTTTCACTTCAACTTTTCATGTGATATATTTAAGGCTACAAGATTAAAGACATTTTAGTACATTTGACATAACTTTAATTTAGAATCACAAGATTAAAAAGTCTTATTTTTTCTTAAACTTCGTTCCAAATCAAACTAAATCATATTTTTTTAAATGAAGAGAGTATATATTAAACTTATGTGTCATAAATTCTTTATCAAATACCATTGTATGAAAAAACAGCCTATTTATGTTTTCGAGGTAGTAGTAAGGTATTCTAATCCTACTTATGGCAGTACATTAGATTTGTTGTGGTTGTTGTATCATCTCAAGAAAATAATGTGAATACGAATGTTTAGAGTTAATACGAGAAAAAACAACCTACTTACCTGCTAGCATAGTACTCCCTCCGTCCCTATTTACTTGTCCATATTTCCTTTTTTAGTTGTCCCTATTTAGTTGTCCATTTTGACAAATCAAGAAAGAACAACAATTTTTTTCCTATTATACCCTTATTTACACTTCTTGAAAATTGTAAAAGTGTATGTTGTTTCCCTCCAATTTATTTCACTTGAATTCAAATAAGTGGTTGTAATTTTGAAGTGAAAAGTTGTCATAAGGGTAAAATTGTAACTTCACTGTGCTAATCATTGTTGCCTTAATCTGTGTGTCATTTCTAAAGTGGACAACTAAAAAGGGACGGAGGGAGTATTACTTTTTTCATCCATTTTTATTTGTCCACTTTAATTTATTCTTTGAAAAATTTAAAAGTAATTTATCATCATATACTCATTTCAGTATTAATGAGTAAGGTAACTTTATACTAGTAATTTGAAGCTGCTGATATAGTCAAATTATTAATCAATGTATTTATTGATTTAAAAAAAATATGTCTAGACAAACATAGACAAGAGTGGGAGTATAGTGTTGTGTGCAAAAGGCTGGCATTAACATACATAATACTCCCTCCGTTCCTTTTTAGTTGTCCACTTTAGAAATGGCACACAGATTAAGGCAACAATGATTAGCACAGTGAAGTTACAATTTTACCCTTATGACAACTTTTCACTTCAAAATTACAACCACTTATTTGAATTCAAGTGAAATAAATTGGAGGGAAACAACATACACTTTTACAATTTTCAAGAAGTGTAAATAAGGGTATAATAGAAAAAAATTTGTTGTCCTTTCTTGATTTGTCAAAATGGACAACTAAATAGGGACAACTAAAAAAGGAAATATAGACAAGTAAATAGGGACGGAGGGAGTATAGGGTTAGGAGTGTAAGTTTTGTTTGACCTAGCTAAGCAACAGCAAGACCTAACAAAGCGCCGTTTAACTGACTCTATATATGCCCTTAAATGTGACTTATGACATATTGATGGGACACCAAACCAATGAGGACAAAGAAATAAGTATGGATATTTATTGTATTTTTAAAAAATCTACTCTTGTCTAAAACTTCCACCATTGTTTAAGTGCCCTGCTATTAACACCTGTCTATGGCTACAGACATGCTAAGCAACAAGGAAACCAAACAAACAGCCGATCCCCATTCCCAGGGAACACATGCCCCAATAACTTTTTATGAAACCAACAAATCTTTAATCCATTTTTCATGCTACTAAACACACATTAATTCATCTAAAATGAGGAGTAATATGAATTGAAAACTTACCAGATGGAACTTGAAGTTACTTCTTTCCTTTTCCTTTCTGATCTGAATGCCGGTTGTCATATTCAGTTGTGGAACCAAGATATGATCCGTACCTCTGGTATTGTGGCAAAGTAGAGGAAGAATTGGACTGAAGGGTCCCCCTATTGAAACCAGATGATGAAGAAATGCTGAAGTTCAAATTGTACTCGTTATTAGTACTTGTCACAACTGGGACTAGGTCGCCGCCGAATGGGAAATGCTGCATCTCGGGTCGATGATCACCTGTAATACTAAACATTGGTGAAGACACCGGTCTTAATGGATTTCCCAAATAAATTTGGTTGTCCGTAAAATACTCCAAGGGATTTGTAGACCATTGTCTCGGTGTGTTTTGATCATCATTAACACTACTCTTGTTGTTGTTATCGCTCATACCACCAGTCAATAGTTCCGTAAAAGAAGAGCTAGGGTGCATATTTTGGCGATGATTAGCAACAGTGTTTACTTTCTCTGTAGCCCTTTCCCTTGCTCGCTCCCGTGCCTTGACCCGGCTATCAGATCTGGAAAGTGACAATCCAGAACCTTTGCTTGTCTCAGAATTACTACAACAAGGTTGTTGTTGTTGTTGCTGCTGATTATAATTAAGATCATCATCCATTTCAACATCAGCTGAATCAAAACGCGGCTCTCTTGACCTTTTCTCATCGCTGAGCTGCAGTGTATCTTGAAATGCCTCAAGAGGTGGAAGCTCAGCGATTGAAGGAGCGGCTGCTTTTAACAACCACTCTACAACCTTGCTGGGCTGATCACAGCCGAGGCGGTCTTGCAAATCATAGAACTGTATAGCAGTATTGACAGAGAGGCGGACACGTCTGTCTCTTAATCCCTTTGAAGTCAATACTTTGCTATGCCTATCTTTCCCTCCAGATGCACGAGAAACTCTAACAATTCTTGATGTAGGCCACCCATATAATTTCCCAATCCCACCACCTAGGTCACTACTCTTTTTGACTTCTCCAACATCGTATTGGTGGTACTGCTCATCCTCCTTGTTACTCATTCTTGGAAATTTGCACTCCTCAGTTCGAATCTCCTACATCTCCATACTAGCACCACTTTCATACCTTTCTCAAACAAAAAATCAAGTTTATTTCTTTATCCAAATCAAAACAACAAAAAGGGGTTTTTTCTATTTGGATTTGGGACTTGATCAATTAGGGTTCATAGATGCAGAAAAAATAAATAGAAGGAGGTGTATGTAGACAGATGTGTATTCCATTGATCATGATTACACACTAGTTTTGGCTTTTATAATGATATATATAATAGTGAGTAGAGACACATAAATTTGTGTATAAAGGCATTTTTTGCGGTTTGATATATCACGTTCACCTACAGATATAGATAGGGCTTTGTTTAAATGTCAGAAGGCTTCTTGTTTGCAGTGCTAACAAAACAAAGGCCTGTGTTTTTGTTCAGAACTCAGCACCATACCCCTGTTACACTCTAAGAAAAACACTCATAAACTATAGCCACAAAAAAAAAATTAAAAAAAATCAAAAGCACCCAAATAACTAGTAATATTTTTACTAAAAAATATTAATGAAAAAACTAGTAAGTATTATTTTTTCTTGCTTTCTTTAAAGACTGACCTTCCTTTCCTAGCTTTCTTTAAGATTAAAGGGGTTGATGAGAAAAAGCTAAACAAAGAGGAGTAGCTATTTCCTAATCTAAAAAGAACAAGTCTATGGAGGTGAGTGGAGAGCCTTTTTCTTTCTGTAATTAAAGATATGCTAGCTGACCCAAAAAAGAGAAGATAAACTACACACTACTATAAATAAAAGAATATAAACAATTAAATAATAACATTTTTTGTTAAATAATAAACAATAACTACTGCCTAGTGGGACTATATATATATATATATTTATGTTTGTGTCTGTTAATTAAAAACAACAACAATATATTTATATACATTCATGTACCATTTTGTTGTCTCTTGAATGGATGCAGATAAATTACAAAATGCAAATCCACATCTGTTGGATCTGAGAGTTTTGTGCTCTTTAAAAGGCTTTGCTACTCAGTAGATCAGTTCCTGGTTTCACACAAATCAAATTCAAATTATGCCAATGCACAAAAACAAAAATTTACAAGAAAACAATTTTGAGCACAAAAATTACATTATCAAAACTCAAAAATGTACATTTTTTATAACTAAAAATGTGAAAAAAAAAACGAAGAAGAAGCTAAGTTGTAGAATATTACCAGAATTTTCTGTAACTCTGCTTCCTTAGATCACAACTTTTAAAACTCCAAAGCCATAATCAGTTTTCTTTACACAAGAAAAAAGAAGAAGATAATTTATGTTAATAAAATATGGTCACAAGATTTGTAGTACTAACTATTTTCAACCCTCATTGTTAGACCTTAAAAATATTTTAGGAAAAAAGTTATAAGTCCCCATGATTTTATTTTATTTTTGGTGAAAATGGGAAATCTTTCTTTCCCTTCTTGTTTTTTTTTCAAGATTTTTGGGTGGCAATTTAAATAGAACTTAAGAGTAGAATTAAAACCCTAAGGTTGTATGTACATAAATAGCCCATTTTTCTGATTTCCTCTTCTTTCTTTTAATGCCATGCCAAGATATATTTTTCCCTTTTTGCTGCCCCACTATATTTTTCTATTTCATTTTAAATTTTATTATTTCCTTTGGTCTCAATTAAATTTTGTTAAAAACAAATTTTATGATAATATTCCTTTTGATTTATTTTGTGAAGTTTGACTAAGCATAATTTTTCATTTTTTATTTTTAGAAAAAAAGACTTTTGAACTTTGATCCTAAACATGTCATAATATAGTGTGATTATAAATTTTAAATTGTCTTATCTTAAATATATCATAATATAATGTAATTTTAAGATTCTTAAAACTTTGTGATATTAAAACTGATAACATTTGTGTAAGTATAAAAAACTTTTCATCAAGACAAATGAAAATTTTAGGTTATTTATTTCTAAATTTAAAGAAAAATATGTTTTTCTGTAACACATTTAAAAAGGGATAATGTGAATTTTCTATATATAAAAATAAATAAAATTATCATGCTATTTCTTTAGTTGTTGACATTGTATGCTTATGTAAAAGTATACGGTCAATATGCATCAATTTTTGTATTGTATTAAAGCGTGTCATTGTTTTCTACAACGAATCCGAAATTTTAGTTACAATTCGACTGTTATGTCATATTCCCTCCGTCCCTAATTACTTGTCCACTTTTGAATTAACACACCTATTAAGAAATCAATAATTGACATAGTGAGTTTACATTTTACCTCTATTAATTATGAAGTTGATGAATTAAAAACTTAATATCTTCAAAAAGTTCTACCTTTTTCAATGAAATTAATTGAGGGTATAACAGGTAAAAAAAATATTTTTTTTTGATTTGTCGAAATGAATAAATAATTAGGGGCAACTAAAAAGTGGACAAGTAATTAGGGATATAGGGAGTACCATTTCTTTTTTAGTCTGCACCAAAAAGAATGTTATCTTGATATAAATAGAAACAATTTAATTTTAAAATCCCCCTATTACCACTAATGAAATGATTATTACCCATACATTTATCTAAAGATTATTTTAAAACACAAATTTTTAAAATGTTTTTTTCTTAAACAACGTGTTAAGACATAAAATGGGATGGAGCAGATTAGGGATGTACAAAACCAAACCAAACCGCAAATCGAGTCAACCCAAAAAAAAACCCGACTAGTGATTTAGTTTGACTTGGTTTGGTTTTGAAAAAAAAAACCCGACTATATTTGGGTTGGTTTGGTTTTAACTAAAAAAAATCAACCCGAGACCAAACCAACCCGACATTATATATATAATTTTAAAATTTTATTTTATACATAAAAATATTTACTTTGATATAATTTTTAAATATTTTTTATACTTTTTCATAGTTTTTATCTTTTAATATATTATTTCGAGTTTGAAACTTAGAATTATGAATGAGCCAATAAAGATTATAGTCCACAAATGTTGGTAATTATATTAAAGCTTACATCAAAATCAAATTAATATTAATGCAAAAAGAAAATCAATTCAACACTAAGAATGACAATAATATTGAATATTTGTTCTTTAGTTTTATATTGGTTTAGACAATTAAAATACATAATCTAATTTTAATTTCCTTTAATATTTAGTCATGTAACTAATACTTATTAAACTTAATTTTAGCATGATTTAGTACTTTTAAATTATGATCATTTTCATTAAGACTTGTTAATTTGCAATACTTGTTTTACGCGATTTCATTATTGTTATTTTTGTTTGATATTTTAGTATCATTAATCATATCATATTGTGTTATATTTTTAAGAAACATCTTAGATAGTTGTATTTTGGTAGGACTAAAGAAATATTTGAAGTCCTAGTAAATTATATGTTTGTATGAATACTTTATCGAAAAAACCCGAAATAACCCGAAAAACCGAAAAACCCGAAAAAATCCAAAAAAACCCGAGGTTGAAAAACCCGAGGTTTATTAGTTTGGTTTGGTTTATAAATTTAAAAATCCGACACCAATGATTTGATTTGATATTTGAAAAAACCCGAACCAACCCGACCATGTACACCCCTAGAGCAGATGATAGATGTAATTCATGAATCCACTTGCTTCATTTTTCAGAAAAGGATATTATATTAACCTCGAGATGGATAGGCTTTTGATGTAAAAAATAACATTTTTTTATGCATCGATGGTGTGAAATCTATCATGTTGTAGTATGTAAGTTACTATTCTTACCAAATTACCAATATGTATATATACCAAAAAATTTAGGGAGAATAACAAATTTCTGTTCTTTCAATTATTTGTAAATTTCAACATATTTAACTTTCCATTAATTTAAATGTATGTTTCTAATCCCTTTTTATAGAAATATGTAAGTTCGGAGCCAAAAGGACCACACTATGAAGCTAACATATTAAAAGGGATAATCATTTTTTGAATTGACCAAAAAGGAACAAAACATGAGACTCTCGACAAACAAATTTCATTGTTTGACCATTTTTCGTGCATAAACACAGGACTTGTTACTTTTGATTTCCTTCCAAGTCGTGATGAACGAACTCATTTGATCATAGTTAAGCTAAAGATACAAATTATAATTTTTGAAGAAGCCAATGACAAGCCTAGACCAAACTCCATTGACGGTTTTTCAAATTCAATAATTTCATCATGTTATGTACTTTTCAATAAGTAGCAAGGTGTGCTACTTTACTACTAATACGTTTCGTTTAGTCATTCAAACTTCTTATTACAATTCTTGTCTTTATTATTTGAAATTTTCAAAATATCATTCGAAAAATTATACTAGGAGAAAATGAGTGTATGTTATAAAATAACTAACTTAACAAACTAAATTAAATAGGAAGAACAATGAGAACAAAACTTAAAGTAGCACTTAAAGTAAATAAGTAAAAGAGCCAAAGAGTGAATTCTATTCACTTGGATATCTATCCTTTATTTTACAACACTCCCCCCTAGATGTACATGTAAAAGAATAGTCTTAGTAAAAGAACAAATATATATATAGTCATTTCTAATACGCATTGTTTGCTGCCTCATTAAAAACTTTACCAGGAAAAAATAGTGGGATAAAACCTTAGTTAAGGAAAAAAAAAGTACAACACGTATTTTACTTCCCATGATAAGGATCATGGATTTAGTCTTCACATTCCAATCTTGTGCACCAGCTTCTTAAGAGTTAAAGTTGGTAAGGATTTGGTGAATAAATCTGCTGGATTATCTCTTGAACAAATTTGTTGTACATCACCATTCTTCTGGAGATTATGTGTGAAGAATAATTTTGGTGAAATGTTTTCCGTTCTATCTCCTTTTATAAAGCCTCCTCTTAATTGAGTTATGCATGCATCATTGTCTTCAAAGAGGATTGTGGGTAACTTGACATCACACTGCAAACCACATCTTTCTTTGATGAAATGTATTACTAACTCAACCATAAGCATCCTCTACTTGCTTTATGAATAACTATTATCTCAGCATGATTTGAAGAAGCAGCGACAATTGACTGCTTAGTAGATCGCCATGATATAGTAGTACCTCCGTATGTGAACAACTAGTCTGTTTGAGATCGAGCTTTACGTGGGTCAGATAAATAACCTGCATCTACATAACCAACAAGATTTGCACTATCTTTGTTAGTATAAAACAGACCCATATCACTGGTCCCCTTTAGATATAGCAATATGTTTACCTTCGTTTCAATGTCTTCGAGTAGGGGAAAAACTATATTATGCTAACAAATTAACAAAAAATATTATGTCAGGTCTCGTAGCATTAGATAGATACA